CAGTGTCAAATTATGACAAATGGCGATGGGTAACAGTTGCTGGGTGGCAGCTGCCACGTCTCAGAGGGAAGCAGGTATTTTTAGCACACTGCGCCTTGGGGCTCTGGCTCCAGGTTAATTAATCATGGTGAACAGCCTGAGTTTGGTTCTTGATCCTGGTCCCTGCCCCCATCCCAGTTTTGTCCCCATTCCTCAGACTGGAATACCAGCTCCCGGGCTGGAAGGCGCACACAGCCCACCCTCGATAGCCCTCACGCTGCATGGGGATATACTGGGGATACCACCCTATACGTCCCCAGAGTGGGGGCCTTCCTTTCTCTTCCTCATTGCGCCCACTCACCTGGGCCTTTTAAGTTCCTCCAGCCCGTTCCTGCCTCAACGCCTTTCCACCCGTGCTTCCATTTTGACCATCCCTGGAAGGCATTCTCCCCGTCCTGTCTCACGCCAAGTGCCCTTCCTCACAAAGGCCCTCCCTGAGCGCCCCCGCCCCAGGCCCTCTGTCACTTTGCCCTGTTTACTTCCTTCGGAGCACTTAGCACCAGCCCAAATCACCTTATTTATCGATTGCTTCACTTTATTGTCTGTCTCCTTCCATTGAAATGCCAGTGACTTGAGAACAGGGGTCTTCTCTATCTTATTTGTTGGCTTAGTGTACGTAGGACAGGTACTCAGCGAATGTCCCTGAATACGCGCCCAGGTGGCTGGATGAGTGGAAGGCTGGCCAGGTGGATGGCCACAGGGAAGAGCCTCTATGGGATTTTATGATCCACTGTGTTAAGATGATTATTCTCGGTAGAAGCGCATCTGGGGAGACACTGGCTGTGTAGCCCACATCCTCACCCAGGCCAGCAGCCACCAAGGGAGGCATAGGCCCAGGGGATTCTGGGAAAAGAATATTCCAGATAGGACCAACTGCTGTTCTCTCTGCTATAGAAATGTCCAACCACATGCTCTTTGGTATTTGTGAGAGATTGCTCTAATTCTGTTTTCTTTTTTTCATATTTTTTTTTCTTGGGGTGGGGACAGATAGACCAGTTTTCAGGAACTCCTAGAAGACTGTTTCTCCATTTTGCCTGAAAGCTGACATGAGTAGTTCATTTGGGGGAATTATGCGTGGTCCTTTCTCTATTTTCTCTTCAGAAGTTGTATGTAAAAAACTTTTTTTTATACATTTTTTTTAATGTTTATTTTTGAGAGAGAGCGAGAGAGAAAGAGGGCGAGCAGGGAAGGGGCAGAGAGAGAGGGAGAGGGACACAGAAACCAAAGCAGGCCCCAAGCTCTGAGCCATCAGCACAGAGCCTGACACAGAGCTTGAACTCACAAACCGTGAGATCATGACCTGAGTTGAAGTCGGAGTCTTCACCGGCTGAGCCACCCAGGTGCCCCTCACTGTTTTCTCTTCAAATATAAGCATTCTCTGTGGAAGCCACAGTTGGTCACCTATCTTCCCCATCCCACTGGGGAACAGAACCCCAACGTAGTCCTTGTATTGGGACACCCGTGCTTCAGGGAGGCCAGGCTCAGCCCCCACCCAGCAGGGGACCCGTGATTAGTCTGAGCCATCTGCAAGCACTCCACCCCCAGCCAATGCTTGGGTTAGAAACAGGGCTGTGAATGTGACCCTAGCTGATGACTAATGGGGATGTGAGGAGCTTCAGAGGGTTCCCTCACTTTGAAGGGCGTACATGAAGGAGTGCACCTGTGTCGTGTCCCTTTTCCCAGTCTTCAAAAAGATCCAGGTTTAGGGGCATCTGGGTGGTTCGGTCGGCTGAACGGCCAACTCTTGACTGTGGCTCAGGTCACAACCTCACAGTTTGTGAGTTCGAGCCCCACATCGGGCTCTGTGCTAACAGTGAAGAGCCTGCTCTGGATTCTCTCTCTCCCTGTCTCTTTTCTGCTTATGCGCATGCACGCTCTTTCTCAAAAGAAGTAAATAAACATGAAAAAAAGAGAGAATCGAGTTTATTTCACACGCAGAGGCAGAGGCATGGGGTGGGGACACATGGCGGAGGCTGGGGAAGGCTGATGGTCCATGAGATTTCCACTCTCAAGAGGCGGGCAGGGCCCAGCAGGAATGTGCTCTGACCCAGTGGTGCCCAACCCTGGACCTCTTGAAACACGCCCACTCCTGAGCCCCTACGCATTTGGGTTGTCTTATTCTCAGGGGATGGGTCTCTGTGGGGCTGATACCCCACCTGCCTGTCCTCCATTATTCTGAGACTTGGGAGCCTATGAACTGCAACAGACCAGGGGCAGGGAAACAGTGGTCAAGAAATGCCTTCCAGGAGATGCTAGAAGCCCTTGCCCTTGCCATCTTGAAGGGAGCAGATAGATTTGCCTTCTTCCTTTCATCTGACTGGAAGGAAACTCGTGAGGAAGGCACAGGCCTGGACGATAGACCTTCGGGGAGGAGAACATTCAGAGCGTGTGCACATCGACTCGTCCCTGCTGAGGATGCTCCGGAGGTTCAGGAGGCCACCAAGCCTGGGGTCTTCATTTGTCCTCAACCTCTGCTGAGGCTCATGTGAAGCAGTCCTCCCTGGTCGGTGCTGAGAAGCAATGAACTGAAAGCTCATTATAAAGCACCAGGGAAATCGAGAAATTGCCATTTCTTCTTCACTTTTGCTACTTTTCGTTCTTAGTTCTGGTTAGGGCTTCCACCATTCCCTGTGGGAGACAAAGATAAAGAGGCAGAGAATCAAAATCAGAGAGAGAGAGAGAGAGAGAGAGAGGCACAAACAGGAAAAAAAAAAAAAACAACCAAACCACTAAAAAAATAACAAAAACAAGAAGACACACGTTCTTCCTTTTTTCTGATTACAAAAATTTTCATTGAGAACCTACTATGTGCCCGACCTGTGCACACACGCCTAATGAATACACCACAAGAGAGCAGCCTGTTTTTATCTCCCCAGCCCCCAGCTGGATTTTAGGTAGGGGAATAAAAGCCTGCTGTTCCTGCGCAGGCCAGTAGGTGCCGCCATGTCAGAGGGAAAGCTAGGGGAGTCGTGGGATTCCAAGGCCACCTCTGAACATAAATCCCATTTCATCTAGTTTTCTGAGTGCCATTATGTGCAGGGCACCAGGCGGGACATTTGTAGGTGTGTAGGATGAGAAATGCACGCTCCCGGTCCTCAGGGAGTTCAGGGTGCCATTGGAGGCTGGAAGGACAAAGTCCTAGGTCACAAAAAAAGGGAGAAGGTGGTAAATGCCTCAGGACTGGCTTAAAGGAAAGGGCTGTGTGCCTCTGAGAACCAGAGACTGCAGAGGAGCACGTACTCACACTATCCCAGAGGGAACAGGCTCAGAGAAGGGAGGCAGGTGATTGCCCTGTGGTCACCCAGCAGTTTCAGACTCTGATCTCCTGACTGCTAACGATACGGTGCTCTTTTCACCAAATATTCTGTCTCAATAATTGTAGCTGCTGCCCTATCCTGAGGTCCAAAATTCTACCCTAGTGTAGCCATAAACCTCCCTGCAAAATGCCTTCTCTTGCACCTACGTCTTGGAGATGGCAGCCACCCCCAACATGGGTCCTGTGGTGCTCATGAGAGCTGACAGTGTGCACCTCTACCCAGAGAGATCGTGTTGGTAGCTGGAAAGCAGCCATCGTGGGAGTAGTCACACCATTGGCAACAGTTGTAAATTGGAGCCTCCCCTCCACTACCCCTCTGCCCAGGGAGCTGCACACTACTGAAGTGTATCCCTACTTTGTAGATAAGAAAAATGAGGTTCAGGGAAGTGAGGTCATTTGCCAAAGAGACACAGCTTATAGGTGGTGGCCCGCCAGGGGTCTGGCGGGTTCTAGGGTGCTCAGAGATGATAACGTCAAGAGGACCCAGAGCCACTTGGATGCGGAGGGGTCTAGTCTGATCCCTGGTTTCTTGTGTGGGTGCTACCCCATGGTGGTGTCATTAACTTGATGGCAACATCAAGCTTTGGACAGATTGGATCTGAGGCACGCTGTTGGAGACATGTTCTGACTTGGAGGCCAGGAGAGAAGTCTGGGAAAGACATCAAGATACACAGGATGGAGTCTGTTCTTGACCAAACTGGCACACGCTAGTTAGGAGCATTTTCCCTTCTTATAGGATTCAGGTAAGACGTGTGAGATTCACCCTTCTGTATGAGTTTTCTCATCTGTGTCAACGTTTCAGGCATGATCCGGCAGCGCAGGGAGTGGGGCCCCCGGACTCTTCTCACACTTGTTCCCTGGTAAGCACTCAATAAGCACTTGTCAAATAAATGAATGAGTGACCCGATTTCACCCTGCACATAACTGAATCAGCACTGCTGTGGACCACACATCAAAACCTCTTAAGTACATGCCTCACAACTTTCAAGATTATCTAGAATTCTGGCATCGTTATAGCAGTATGGATTTGGGATCAGAAATTACTCTTTCTTTCTTTCTTTCTATTTATTTATTTATTTATTTATTTATAGCATTTTAGAGGTAGAAGTGGGCATATTTCTTACAACGTCTTTCTGGAATTTACTGTGCCATTGAGACCTGGAAGGACAAGGTGCTAGGTCAGAAAAAGAGGGTGAAGGTAGTGAGTGCCTCAGGAGAGGTTTAAAGGCAGGGCTGTGCAGATCTGAGAACCTTGGCGATGTCAGAGAAGCCGGTTTCCCTGCGAGGTACTGAAGTCCAGAGACCGATGTGTGGGAGGGAGAGAACCCATACCTGGCAGTCCCCCCGGGGCCTGGCCTGGCCTGCCTTGCTCTGGCCTGTTTACTGCCCTGCTCTGGGCCTCGGTTTGTCCCTCGGGTACACGGAGAGATCAAGCTCAGGTTTTGGAAGGGTGATTGAAGAGTTGATGAAGATCCATGTAACAGGAAGACAATTTGGGTAGACGAGCAGACAAAGCCCTGGATAACCAACCAAGGAAGCTACAATATGCAAATGAATGGATTGTGGCTCTCTCCTCCTGGTTGGCTGGAGGGGCCCCGATGTCACAATGCATGGGGTTTCTCCACTCCAAATGATTGTGTCTCTAGCCCCCCAAATTCCCTGACCAGACAGGTCTCTTAGCTCCCTCTCTTTGTCCCCACGGGAAGAGAGACCATGGAACCACTCTATCGGGCTGGGTCCATCCTCATGAAGGTGAACACTTTACAAGGGAAGAAGATGGTGGAGAGCGGCATCCAGTCCGGAGACTTTTCCCTCCCTCAGTCGTGGCCTTCCTGCTTCCCGCCGCCAGCGGACCTGGAGATCCTGCAGCAGAAGGTGGCCGGGGTGCAGCGGGAGCTGGCGGACTTCAAGAAGGAGGCGCTGCAGGCCATCCGTGACCTGGAGGTCGCCTTCTGCGAGCTGAACGGGGCGCTGGCGCAGCAGGAGGAGCAGGCGGCCCGCGTGAAGCAGCGGCTCAGGGAGGAGGAGGACCGCGGCGTCGTGCGGAATAAGGTCCTCACCTTCCTGCTTCCCCGCGAGAAGCAGCTCCGGGAGCACTGCAGGCGGCTGGAGCGCATGCTGCTGGGCTCCAACCGCGACGCGCTGGCCAGTCCCAGAAAGATCCAGGCAAACTGAGGCCTCCTTGCAGCCGAGCGGCCAAGTGGAAGATTCTTTTTTTCTTTTTTTTTTTTTTAATGGAGGGGCCAACCTAAGTCCCTCTCCATTTGCTACCCTTTCCCCATTCCCATTGCTTTCCTTCCACCTCAATAACACCTTGCTGAGAGGCGAAAAGACCCCAGTATGTTCTTTAGGTGAAGCTCCCGTTCGCCCAGCATCACAGGAGGCACCCAATCCTCAGTCTTTCAGACACCTGTAACTTTCACCGTTAACTGTTTTCCTGTTTGTCATGGTAATATTGCTCAAATGTATAACATGATTTTTTTGTTTTTTTAATCTTCTTAAACCGATGTGTTGAACAGATTTACCTTTCTTTTAATGACTCAAGGCTCTCCTGGTCGTTACTTGCTGCATGCTCTACCGAGGGGGGTGGGGGGATTGTTCTCCCGTGCACGGATTGGCCTCCGATTACTTTCGTAGTTCTTATCCTCGTCCAGTGGGCTCTTCTGCCCGCTTTCCTAGTTAGACTGCCATAACTCGCTTTTCTTTGCTGCCTGTGCCCACCTGTCCCTCCTCTGCGCTTCGTCTGCCGTCTGGCCCATCAGATCGACAGAGCTTATTGGGCTCAAATGGGCGGGGTCCTAAGGGCTTAGTGCGCAGATGCACAAAGACGTGCTAAGACTCCACCCCCACGAAGTGGGTTATGAAGCAGTGCCGCTGGGTTTCACGTTTGACCCACGGAGCAAGAATTGTTAACGGCGCCCAGGCGCGTATCAGGCGGTGTGCGCACCCCATCCCACCTACTTCTACAGGCACCCTTGGAAGCAAGTGTCACTTCCCCACTGTGCACAGGGGGAGGCGGAGCTCAGGAAGGGGAGTCCTTCACCCCCGGTCGCCATGCTAGCAAGGGGCAGGACTACAGTTCACCTCCTGTCGTCCGTGGCAGTCATCATCCCGCTCCCCTTTGGAACCACATCAGGCTCTTCATGAATCTGTTCTGGAGGATCCAGATTGTCACAGAAGTGACGTGGGGGTCCCTTAGCTGTCACCGTGCCTTTCGTTTCCAATGAGACTTTGTTTCAGTGAGTCACATAGGTTCTCTCTGGTCCCGCTCCCCCCCCCCCCCAAATGCTGCCATGCAATGGGGATTCTCCCCTATGCAGCGGAAGCCGGGTGCCTGGAGGCCAGAGTCAGCACCTGAGCACAGCCAGGCCACTGTCCTCCTGGCTTGAGGCCCTGTCTGTCCTCCTGTGTCATAAAATCTCTCCCAACAAGATTTGCGCATCTGCAACCCCCACTGTTGGATGGCCCATCCGTCACCGTCCACCCTGAAGGGCTGTACCCGTATTTTAGCTTCAGGCCGTTTCTCCCTTGGAAGGTTTAGCTGAAGTAATAATAATGTAAATACTACAAATAATGTAATGTAATAAAGTAAATAATAATGTAAATAATGTAAAAGCTACTGCCACTAGCTTACAGTTATCAAGAATATGATGTATTCCAGGCACCAGGCTGGGCCCTTTGAAGGCAAGTACTAACTATAACCTTCACTTTGGGATTCTGAGGAAACCGAAGCTCACAGAGGAGAAGTAGGCCAAGGTCACACAGCTGATTAGTGGTAGAGCTGAGATCTGAGCCTGGGGACATCTAACTTCAGAGGCTGTGTTCATTTTTTTTTTTTAATGTTTTTAATAGTTATTTTTTTGAGACAGAGAGAGACAGAGCATGAGTGGGGGAGGGGCAGAGAGAAAAGGGAGACACAGAATCCGAAGCAGGCGCCGGGCTCCGAGCTGTCAGCACAGAGCCCGATGCGGGGCTCGAACTCTTGGACAGTGAGATCATGACCCGAGCTGAAGTCGGACGCTTAATTGTTTGAGCCACCCACGTGCCCCAAGGCTGTGCTCATTTTAACCAATTTGTAGTATATGAGGAACTTTATGTGCTAAGGACTTGCTTCTTGAGTAGATGAAATGGGCATACTGAACTTGGTGAGGTGAGCTCTGTTTTGTGTATGTGGGGGGGGGGGGCGACTCCTATGCCTTTAAATCTTCTGGGGGACGGCTGTTTGGGGGTGTGTACAAATGTATCTGAGAAGAAGGACTTGATTGGCCAAATATAAGAAGAGTTTAAAAAATCAACTGCTGGGTCACCTGGCTGGCTCAGTCAGTAGAGCATGGGGCTCTTGATCTCTGGGTCGTGAGTCCAAGCCCCACACTGGGCATAGAACCCACTTAAACAAAAATCCACTGTTTTGCACAAGAAAACTGGCCCCGATGCTAACTCATGTGGAAAAGGTTTGCGTCTACTGCAGGTTCAGTGTGTTAATCGGGCTGCTCAGAAACGATGGCGTTCGTGTGAATTCTGAGAAGAGATGAGGAGATGCTGTCCTGTGATGGCACCCCCAAGTCCACTCCTGGAAGGCTCTGTGCTTAGTTCTGACCCAGCACTTTTCAGAGGGTCCTGGGCAGCCTGGAGTGTGCAAGGCAGGGAATCCCGAGGAGGGGGCATGATAAAGGGCCTGGGGACCTGGGTGGCAGATGTTTGAGGGGGACCTAGTCATGACCTTCTCAACGCTAGGTGTGGGGTTTGTGGGAGCCAATAAAGGTCACCCCTCTTTTTTCTGCCTCCATCAGAAACCAGTTGAGGGATTGACACAGGAGCACAGGCAAATGGAGACAGGATCACTTCTATCACTTTTTTTTTTTTACTGATAAAGCTGATGGAGAAAGTGGTTTGGGGTCTGTGAGCCACATGGGCTTGCTAGGACCTCATCCCTGAACATGATGCTGCCTCCGAGCACACATGCTGGCAGGGGCAGACAGCTGCTTGTGTGTGTGTCACTGTGTGACCTCTCCAGAGAGGGACAGCTGGAGAGAGAGGGAGGGCGGAGCTGTCCAAAGCCACCAATCGGAAAGTCCCCGCCTTTCCTGGGGAGGGGAGTCAGGGAGGGGAAGAGGCAAGGAACGCCACTTGAGTGATAGTCCTTCTGTAATGAAAGAGGAATGGGGAGTAAGGGTGCCCCCCAACTAGTAAGAGAAGGGTTGGAATGGAAAGTTCTCTGGGACAGTACTAGCCACCAAAGATAGATGCTAGTCTGAAGCTAGCTGGTTTCAGTCCCACATAAGAAAAAAACCACATTGGGTGCTGTTTGTGTGCCTGTGCAGTAAAGGGTGTCCAGCAGGTGCGGGATGCTCAAATCTCTCATGTTAAAAGAAAGGTCTGGCCCCTGACCGGCTCCTGGCAGATAACCTCTAAGTCCTTGTAATATGCTGTCTGATAAGACTGTCTTTGTTTATCTGGGGCCTTGGGCTGAGTCAGATAGTTCACGCTAGCAAGATGATCCATGGTGGGGCCGCTGGGCCAGGCTGTATCAGCTTGACCTCTGGAGGGGCTAGAGACTGAGTAAGGTCAACCATGGAGGTGCTCTGGGCCAGGTGATAAACCACCAGTAAAGACCCTGAACACCAAGACTGGGGTGAACCTCCGTGGCTGACAGTAGTTCATATGTGTTGTCACATGTTGCTGCTGGACAATTGCATTGTCCCTACAGCCCCACTGGGAGGAGACAACTGGAAGCTCATGCCTGGTCTCTCCTGGACTCTGCCCTGTGCTCCTTTTACTTCTGCCAGTCTTTAATTGCATCCAGTGGTTGTAATAAACTGTAATCATGTGTATAACGGCTTTCTTACTCTGCGAGTAGTTCTAGTGAATCACCGAACTTGAAGGTGGTCTCGGGGACCCATGACACCATGTCAGATGCACTTGACATTTCATCCACAATAACCTTGCAATCTAGGCACTATTATCCCTATGGCAGATGAAGAAACTGAGGTGTAGAAAGGTTAAGTAACTAGTCTAGGATATAGAACAGGACTCTAGGGCTCCCTCTCTTGACCACCATCCCACACCAAAGGAAAGGACTTGCGGTGACAGGCTGGCCCCCTTTGCTGGAAGGTCCCATGGGGGTGGCCCCAAGGCCCTCCAGCTGCAAGATGAGTCATCCTGCAGTGATGATGAGGAAGAAGTGCTAGATAGAGGAAGAGGCAGGAAGCTCATGAATTTCCTGTGTTGGAGAGCTCAGGTGCACACATGTCCAGGTTAGGTTAGACAGGCATCCCGCCTGAAGACAGGGTGAAAGTCTAAACGTCCTCTCACGGTTTTCTCTGCTGCCGGGTTTCAAGCTTGCTTCTCTATCGGGAGCTTTCAGCTACAGGCCACGGGATGCCCGTTATGCTGACTTCTTTGAGGAGCCTATTTTTTTCCCTGTAACGAGACATCTGAAGCAGATGATTGGTGTAGTAACTCCACCATGACAGATCTGAGTTGGTATCTCTGTATCCTCTTTTCCTCTTTCCTCACCACCCACTCCCAGCCCACGGTCACGTGATGATGGCTGCAGGAGTCCCAGAATTGTGTCATCGCCCAATGGCTTCCAATGCAGGAAAGAAGAGGCGGAGCTCTCCTCGCAAGCAAGCCTCCTGCTTATAAGAGAGGAAACCATTTTGCCAAATCCACCCCCCCGCCCCCCCACCCTCCGCAAATTTTCTCCGCCATTTCGTTGGCCAGAGCTTGGTCGCTTGCCTATCTGAAACCAATTGCAGACAAGAAGCAAGAAGCAAGCAGTTGCCACTGGGGCTGGGCACCTCAGTTACCCAAGATCTGAGTTTCTATCGGGGGGCGGGGCTGTGGGATGGCCACCAGCCCCACCTGCCCCAACCTCAGTCTTCCCTTCTCTACTTACTAGATACCGAGGATCAGGAAGAAGAGTGCTCTGGGGAATGGCATGGCTGGGCAGAGCTGGGCGGTGGGAGTGGCTGTCACATGGCGGGAGAAGCATGGACTTAGGAGGTCCAGAGGCTGAGGATATGGGCTACATGGAGGTGTGGAGCCACATTTCAATGCTGTGCATGTCAGTCCACTGCCTTCGCTTGCTTTGCCCTTTGCTTACCCCCTACCCAGCCTTCATCCTTAAAGCCAGAGGCTTGAGATGACCCAAAGGGCGCTAGGGAGCCTTTGCACTCTTCAGTCCTTAAAACAGGCAGTCACTCTTAGAAATGTAATCCGTGCGTCACTATCTGGGGTGACTGGTCCTTATTTAACTGAAGTTGTCTCTGAAAACCGGAAGTCCTATATGCCCTCTTAGTCCTGGGAAAATTGGAATGGTTGGTCAGCTTGCATTAGACAGAGACCGTGTTGGGATGGTCCAGGTGAGGCTGCGGGTGGGGCCAGTCACAGGAGGCCAGCCAGGAAACAAAGGAGGTGGTGGCCGTCTCCTCCAGGTCGGTGCATCTTTGCTGTCATTAAAAAAAATTTTTTTTAATGTTTATTTATTTTTGACAGAGAGAGAGAGAGAGAGAGA